GTTTCCGTTGTTAAAAATGTTTCTTTAAAAAAAAAAAAAAAAAAAAGAACACATTTCTAAGTCAACTATTAGGTCATCAGAAAAGTCATAATGTCTTTTTTGTTTTTTCTATGCAAAACTGTGTCATGACTTTTCTTATGACCCCATATTATGAGAGGATGGAAACAGTAGCAGTAGTAGGTTGTTTCTCAGACTGAACCACAAGAGCACAAAGACAATGCCTAGATGAGTATTGGAAGCCACAGAATAAATCCAGGGTATCTTTTTAAGCTGTCAACTTTTTATGAAGATTTGGGGTTGACAGTGGTAGAGGAGGGTGGGAGTGTCAAGAGGAATAGGGTCATACTTCTTTTTTCAATTTTTTACTAGACATTTTAGAACACAAAATTCAACTGGATTCTTATAAAACATGAAACCAAAAGAAATTTCTTACCTACAAATATTGGCCCCCTGTTACCTCATGGAGACTGCTCTATAGCAGGACATACTGTTCTCAGACACTGGGGCTACTTGGATGGAAAAATCGAGAAGCCCAGCCATGAGAGCCAATTTAGGGAAGACTTCATTTCTATAACAAAACATTCCCATACTCCCAAATTACCTTAGTGATGTAAGGGCATGAAACATCTGAACAGTGGTAAGGAGAAGTAGGGACCAGAGCCATGGGAGGAGAGGCTTCCCTATGCACTTTACCCGCAACCTGGAGCAGACAGTGGGGTCTTCTTTGTGGCACAAGGAGCAGTTCAGCCAGTTTTCATATTATATTTATTTCTCTCTCTTTATTTTTATTTTTATTTTTTAGTTTGGTTGTCGTTGTTATAGGACATATAGGTTCACCAGAGACAGAGGAAGAAAAGAAAAGTGAGAAATCATCCCTAACAGTGGATGACCATTCTGCAATCCCTTTTCCTCCATTCTCCTCTTAGGATTTTGAGCACACACTCAAACACACCTGGTATGTTTTCCAAACAGTCAGGTCTGGGATTCAAACTGCTGTCAGCCGTGTAGGATCCAGTGCCTTAACCACTATGCCACCTAGCTGGCCTCTTCATGTTGTATTTTAACTAATGGAAACTTAACTAATGGCATTGTTTTTTACGAGGTCTCTGTGGACTCTCAGGGTGTTTATTGTGAGGTGGAACACAGATAAAATGCCAAACTAGACCTCAGTCTAAAAAGAGAAGCATTTAATTCTAAGGGCAACTTTAGACATAAGAATAGTGCTATCTGCTCTTCTGATCATATTATAGCTTTAAAAATTACCAAATAATTTTAAATGCCTGCAACCTAAGACTATGTCCCTCCCGATTTTCATAATGAAAACTTTTCCCTGAGCAAGTCAAAGTAAAAAGTTAATAAAAGTTAGTTGTTTTGAACAGGCAATACAACATCTGTCTAAATATTAAGTTTCCATGATTATGTGCATGACCAGGAAGTTCCTTAATTGTATCAAATTATTTTCCTGTGATTTATGATTAATACACAATAGATGTCTCTCTGATCAAACAAAGAAGAAAAGAAACCAAAAAAAAAATCTATAAATGAAATGCAGAGAACTTCTGTGGAAAACTGCTACTTGTAAGCACAGCACATCAGGAAAACAAAAATCTTCAGTATGTTTGTATACTCTTGCTATCAGGCAAGGGAAGAAAATGATGTTGTGATAGCCTCAGTGCTGTGTTCAGCCCCTGCCACTGGACGTGAAACTCTTTGTGCGTTTTAATGTCAGCACAAACCCATTGTCCATGTATATTTCTTTAAGGTTTTTGCCATAGGGTGCATGCACTTGCAAGCCAGAGAGAGAGAGACAGACAAGGAAAGTGAAAAATCAACACCCCCCCCCCCTCCCCCCCCCCCCATGATGGCCACACCTCCATCCCTTCTCCTTCATTCTCTTCCTGGAATTTCGGGCACACACGCATACGTGCCCAGCATGATTTTCAAGCTGCCAGGTCTTGGACTCAAACCACGGTTCACCATTTGGGAGTTCAGAGCCTTAGCCACCATACCACCTGCTGGCCATTGTCCATTTTTTAAGGCATTCTTCTCGACTGAATGTATAACTTTAGCATTACATTATGGTTTCTATAGTTTGCCTATTATATATTTTATACTGCCAAAACCAAAATTAGAACAAGTTTGGTATAAAAATCTAATTGGTTTTTATTTGTAATTCTAGAATCAGGCCATGCTTCACTCTATAAAATAGAGTGAGTCTTCGGATGAGTGGAGCAGAGGAGCTTAGTAGAAAAGGTCTGAAGAAAGCAGAAGCAGAACAGAAAGTAGACTATCACTTCAAAGTTGCTTCCCTTGCAAAGGTTAAAGCAGAGAATTTCCTTATGCTGGCTAAAACTGGATCATTTGAAGATTTGGCTCTTACTTCTCTCTCCTGATTTCTGGGAAGGTCAGATAAAAAACTTAGTTTTGGCTTGATAGAACTTTAGCATGGGTAACTCCATTCTGGTTTGGTATGTTGGGTCTACTGCAGGAGTTCAGTTCAAACCAGTGGCCTCCTATAAATTTTATTTAATGATATTGATATATTTCTTTTTTGGCTTGCTTTTTTTTTAAATTTTAAGTGCTTTAAAATATGTATCATAGTCACATGACTCAAAACTCAGAAAGTTTGCAGAAGAAATGTCAGAGGATAGTCCTCCTCCACTCTGGTTCATCCCCCAAGCATTCCTTTTCCCTCCACAGGGACAAATAATATTACCAGATTTTTCTGTATCTTGCCAGAACTCTTCTAGGCATTTATAAGTAAGTATATATTGCAATTTTCTGTGTTTTTTTTTTTCAGTCAAATAGTAGCACATAGTATAAACAGTTGTATAAACTTGTATAGTATAAACTTGCTTTTAACAATACAGCATGGAATTTTTTTCTTTTTTTCTTTTTTAATTTGCTATAGGGCATGTGTGCTCAACAGAGGGGGACGAGAGTTTGGAGTTTGAGAAAGCACCTTTCATGGGAGATGGCCACACCTCAATCCTTACTCCTCTTGGGATTTTGCACATGCACACATAAGCACCTGGCATATTTTTCAGGCTGCCAAGTCCAGGACTTGAACCACACAGTTGGCCATGTGGGACCCGGCTGTCTTTTCTTTTCTTTTCTTTTCTTTTTTTTTTTTTTTCAAATATATATATGTATTATTTATATTTAATCACTATACATCTTTACAGTGTCTAACATAATTTCTCCCAGGGTCCCAGCTGTCCTAACCACCATACCAACCTACTAGCCCTACAGCATAGAAATCTTTATATTAGAATCTAGAAAGTGTTCTACTCTATGTCTGCAAAAATTCAGCAGTATGGATGGCTTATGCTATATTTAATTATTCTTTAAAAAACAAACATTTAAGATATTCTCATTCTCACACAATTTTAAAAGATAATATTACTACTTTGCCTATCCATTATTTCTCAGTTGTGTTACCATATTTAGAAAACTTCAGGGCCAGCAAGTAGCATAGTGATTAAGGCACTGGACTCCCACACGTCTGACCATGTAGCTTGAAAATCATGCCAGGCGTGTGTGTTTGTGCCCAAAATCCCAGGAGGAGAATAGAGAAAAAATTGAGGCATTGCAATCCCCTTGGGGGGTATTTCTCCTTTTCCCTCTCACTGTCTCTCTTTGTCTCTCTGGCAAGCACATGTGTCCTATGGCAAAAACTTTTTAAAAAAGAAAGAGAGAGAGAGGAAGAAAGAAAAAGGAAGAAGAGAAAGAAAGAGAGGAAGGAAGAAAGAAGAAAAAGCAAAAAAGGGAAAACTTCTTGGACATACAATTTTGGAGTGTATGTATTTTTAATGTTGAATGATATGTGTCAATTAATTAGTCATTTTGTGAAGCAAGTATGGAGATAGCAGAGGAAGGAAGGAAGAATGCTCCACAATCCCAGGGACTCTGGTCTTTGAAAAGTCTCCAGACGGTCTCTCTATCCCACATACTCCGCTTCCCTGAGATGTGTGGGCGTTGGAGAATGCCCTGCTCAGGTCTCATTGACATGCAGTTCTGCTCTGAGACCAACGGCAGGTGTTTGGGTTTTGTAGGAGCTGATGACCATTTTCCAATTGCTGCACTGGAATGGAAGCCTAAAAGCCCTGCGTGAAACAAAGTGCTCTCGACAGGTGAGTTTTTTTTCATCCAGACCGAGCTGGGCTCATGTTGGATAGACTAAGCAGATTGCTCTTCATCTTTCTAGATTTTCTTGCCTTGGATTTTTCTGTTTAAATTTGGTGCCTGAAAATAACGACTCCATGTGAACCAAATCCGCATACTAAGTGGAAGGCTGGGGAGGCGCTGGGCGATCCCAAGATGTGCTGAAGGCAGAATGCACAGTCACTAAGACATAGTCTCTAAGTCCTGTGCTGACCCTCCTCCGCGCACCTGCACCTCGGAATCTGTGCCCTCATACACTGGTGCAGAAAGAAACTTGAGGATGTGCCATTTCTGAAACTCGCTCGCTGAAGAGAGGCAAAGTTGGTGGTGGCAGAAGGATGTTTCCAAACCCACCAAAAGTCCTCCACAGACAACAGAAGTCATTATAACGGTGGATGAGCTGGCATTCCACCACCCCAATATTTACAATCAGAAATTCCTTCTTTTTTATTCAGGATAAGGTCTCACTATTGCTGTGTTACTTCTAAGAAGCACTCTTTTGCCCTTTTAATAGCAAATATAAACCTCCTCCTGTGTATTTACTGGTTTTCACCTGCTAACCTACAAAACCAAAACTTCATTTACCCCACTGTTTAAATTTGAAAGATGGTAGTTTATTTTTCAAAAGTCCCTAACAAGAATTTACATGAGGAACAAAGCAAGAGGAGAGCGGATGTCAGAGTCTGCCTGCTCTGCAGCCCCAGGAGGGTTTGGTTGCGCTTTCCTTAGACAGCCTCACTTTCCAAATGTCCAATATGGAAAAGAAATGAGTAGCTGACAATGGGTTTGGCTATTTTTTTTTTCTTTTCTTTTGATTTTATAAAAGGCCTTTGAAATATGCTGGGCTAGTTATAAACACTTTTCCATGATTGTTTTTAATTTGTTAAGGTCACAAATAAATACCATATGTTCTTGAAAATAAAAAAAAAGCAAGGCATCCACTCCATACGATCAAACCTATATATGACATTACTATGTACTGACATATTCTTTTTACATACAGAATTAGCAGGTAGAGACTAATTTTTAATTGTTTGTAAAAAAAAAAAGACACAATGAACCGGAATGGTGTCCTTAGGGTACAGATAATGATAATGTCTTGACTGTACATGTTCGCAGTTATTTCTATACATACACTGAGTCTCCTTCCAAGGTACCCTTGACTAAAAGCTTCCTGCTTTCTGCACTGGGTGTAACCAAATCCCATTCCGCATGAATCCCTCTGAATAGCTACTTCCCTGTCTCTGTTTTGCTACAGGAAATATCGCTGGGCAGAGGGGTTTAATAGATAAATGAACTAATAGTCATACAAATCATTATGAGGATGTATTTTCAAAGAAGGGCTTGGATTTTCCAGTGATGGCAGAGCTTGGTTTTGTGGGCACTGTCGAGTCATTCCTGGGGCATGCTGACCCAACCTGGAATGACTTGCTTTGCTGCGCCAGCTTCATCTCCTTTAAGAAGTATGCCCATGGGATTTGGCTGCAATTTTTAGGTATCAGAGAGACTTGGTTGTTGATAAAACCTGATGGTTGTGGTGGGCATGGGAAGCGTGGCAGGCCATGTGCTCAGGTGGCGTTGTTGCTCTTACTGACACTCCAGACTTTTGTTTCTTGGCTCCCAGGAAGTCATCTCCTACTACTCCCAGTATTCCCTGGATGAAAAGATGCGCAGCCACATGGCCCTGGACTGGATCATGAAGGAGCGGGAGTCACCAGGCATTCTCTCTCAAGAGCTCCGAATGGCCCTGAGGCAGTTGGAGGAAGCCAGGAAAGCAGGACAAGAACTGCGGTTTTACAAGGAAAAGAAGGAAATCCTGAGCTTAGCCCTGACTCAGATCTACAGCGACCCCGACACATCCTCGCCCAGCGATGATCAGCTGAGCCTCGCGGCCCTGTGCAGCTATCCCTAAAAAGGCCATGTGCCCTCAGGGTGGCAGAAGCTGGACTCGAACATCAGGGAGCTCACTGAAGGAGGCCCTCTGGGGCTTTAGCATCTCTAGCTACTACCCGAAGGCTGTACTAACCCCCTACCCCACCCCATCCATCCCAGAGTGTGAAAGTAGCAGGACTCCTCCAGGACCCCGTATCCCCACTCCATGCATTTCCCCATCACTGTAGTGATTCCTATCTCGATAGCACCACCTCAGGATGGAAGAGTGGCCACAGAGTCGCTGGGAAAATATTTTAGGCTGCAACCTAAAGCCTGGTTGATATGTGCCTTGCTAGATGATGTATGTTGTTTCAGAGTGGGCCAGTATAGTAGCCCTCAGAAGAATGGCAACCAGGACTAGGGGAAGTAGCACAACAGCAATTTAAAAAATACCTGGGATTAAATAAACAATATGGATTGTTTTTAAAAACATACAAGGGTCAGAGTGTTTTCCTAAGTTTTTTCAGTTAAGCAATAACATATATGCTTTATTCAGTATAATCCAAAGCTACCATGGGATTTTATCTTACCCGCAAAGACCTCTTTTTTAAGAGATTTTTGCTATAGGGTGCGTATGTTCACCAGAGAAACAGACACGGTGAGAGGGAAACTGAGAAATCACCCGCCAAGGGGGGTGGCCACGCTGCAGTCCCTTCTCTTCCATTTTTGTCTTGGAGATGTACATGCACCCAGTGTGTTTTAAGCCGCTGGGTCTGGGAAAAAAAACTGGATCTGAGACTCGAACCATGATCAACTACATAGGAGTCCAGCGACGTAACCATTATATCATCTGCTGGTCCCACTAGCAAAGATCTTAAAAGTGGGTAATAGCATGAAAATACTAAATAAATTTAATGAGGCTTAACATGCCTTTGTAATAATAATTTATTTAAACCCATACTCTTTCACATATGGGGATAAATATCACCTAGAATAGTACTCCCATTCTCATTCCTCAAGAATTAATATCTAACTTTTATGAATCTTGCAATCAATAATGTTTTTTTTTATCTGCAAATAAGATAATTCGAACCAATTTGTTTTTATTTTTGCCACTGCAAACATATAGTGGAGAAAATGAGTGGCATTTTGAAAGATAAGACATTTTGAAAGCCAGTCTGTGGCATGATGGTTAAAGCAACTGGCTCCCACATGGTCACCTGTGTGGTTCTAGTACCAGACTCAGTGGCTTGGAAAATATACCAGGAGCATGTGCATGTGTGCCCAAAATCCTGAGAGGAGAATGGAGGAGAAGATACTGTCTGTGGCCATTCCCCCTGAGGAATTCCTTGTCATTTTTCCTCACTCTTTGTCTCTCTGAACCAAGACCAAGCACCCTGTGGCAATTTTTTTTTTTTTTAATTTTGAGAAATTATTAGCATGTAACAAAGACTGTTCCATTCAACTAATTTCATTGGCTTTAGTAAGAAGGAATCTTTAGTTGTCCTTATTGTTATTCAAGAACATAAGTGACCAGTAGCTCAAATATAGTATTATCATTAAGTTTAAGTCACTAGAATCTTCTTCCAAGGGGAGATAAGAGATTACCTTTTGTATTTGACCCATCTCTATGGGTCAACCAACTGATTAGAAAATAAAAGTCAAAACTACAGGGGCCGGCAGGTGGTGTGGTGGTTAAGGGCACTAGACTCCTACATGGCTGACTGTGGTTCGTGTCTCAGACGTGGTGACTTGCTTTCTCACTTTTTCTCTCTCACTCTGTCCCTCTCTGGTCAAATTAAAAGAAATAAAGTTACATTAAAAAAAAAAAAGAAAAGAAAAGTTGAAACTACAAACTAATTTGTAGACATATCCCAGTCACTCAGATTTAAGAATGGCAGCAGTATCAGTACGAACTGCTCATAGGTATTTCCGTATCTATAATATGAAAAAGATTATTCTGCATTTAGTCCAATAATCAGATAAAAGAACATGTTTTTCCTCAATTTTAAATAAAGTTTCTTCTTGTTTATGCAAATATAGACTAATTTCCTGAAAGCTGAACCATTATAATTACATTAAAGCTTATAAAATGTATTATTTTAATTACATATCTAAATATGTACAAAGGTAATTATCACTCCTAAATGCCCATGAAAACTACTTTATACTGTTCATGTATTTTGGAATTAACCATGGTAACAAAAAATTATACATCACATTTATCACACCAGGGGAAAGTAAGCTACATAATTATCTTACTATAATATTGTGAAAAGGCATTAATATGTAAGATTGGATGGATTTTATTTAAAAATATTATTTTAACAAAAATCACATTCTTTCCCATAATAAAGCTAAATGTCACCTAGAAGAGAACTTTACTCTCTAAGATTCCTGAAAAGAAACGACAATTAACTTTTGTACGTCAAGTAAATTTTAAAATTAAGGAAATTTTTTAGTTAAAGTAATTTTTTCATAGTTATTACTCTTCACATTATCATTTCAAAAAAGTCATACTTTCCTGTGTTAGGTGTGATAAAGTTCAGGCAAATCTTTACTGCATATGCATCTTTTGACGATGATCACCTCAAACCAACACCATCTAACTAGATACAGGGACAGAGGTCAGCTGGGACAATATCAAATTTACTTTCTTCCTTTAGTTAGAAAAATGCACCCATTCTCTAAACTGAAAATAGAGATTCGCCCTTGGCCACCATCATTTTTCCCTAACTGATCAAAACTACTCGTTCTTTCTAGAATAGGGTGGAAAGTACAGCAAAAGAAACAAAAGTCAGAAATGTTTGCTGGTCCCTTTGATGCTCATTTAATAGCAAATCAATTTCACCCAAGGCATAGTGGCTGTCAGTAGTACACGTAAACATGTGTAAGCCCGGCTCAGGGAAGAGCAGGGTTAAAAAGAAAGATCTATTTTTTCTTTTTTCTTTTTCTTTATCTTGTTCTCAATAACACACTGATAAAAGGGACTAGACTGGAAGACTGTAATTAAAGATGGGGAGCTCTTTTTAGATATAAACCTTTTGAAAATATGTATGATAAAAGCTACAGACTCACCTAAAAAGATAAAACAAAACATGCACATTCTAAATTGCACAGTTCTGGGCCAGCAGGTGGACCGTAGGTTACAGTACCAGATCTCATGTGGCCAACCACAATATGAGCCCCAGACCCAGTGGACTGAAAATCACGCCAGGTGTGTGTGCATGCCTGCCTAAGATCTTGAGAGAATAGGAGAAAATGGATTGCAGCTTGGTTAGTCCCCCTGGAGGGCAGCTTGCTTTCTCTCTCTCTCTCTCTCTGGTGAGTGCACACACAGTATAGCACAGACTAAAAATAAAAAATAAAGAACTGCACAGTTCCAGAGAGTTTATGAACCCCCAAAGTCCATGGACTGCCCTAGGGCATCCTTGGGCTCTAGTTTAGAACTTGTAGCTTTGAGCACACGCATACACTTACATAGCTTGTTCAACTTGACATCAGGAATCCAACGTGGCTCGGTACAGCCCTTGTATTGTATTCTAAGATAAATGTCATCCCGAAATAAAGAATTGCACTGTATTTGATAAGTAGCTTAATTTTCACAAAATCCAAGTATACCATGTTGTTATTAAAAAACTGCTTAGAGTAACTTGGGTAAAAATATATGAATATTATAGGTTTAATTAAGTCATTATTCCTCTAAAGTACAGAATTCAATTTTTATTTGTTCATAACCTACGGTTCACTTTTTTTTTTTTTGAGAGGTTTTTGCTATAGGGCGCAAGTGCTTGCCAGAGAGATAGAGAGATAGAAAGTGAGAAATCACCCCCCAGGGAGGATGGCCACACCGCAGTCCCTTCTTTTTCATTCTCCTCTCTGGTTCTTGGGCATGCACGCACACGCACCCGGCCTAAGTTTAAGCCACTGGGTCCAGGACTCGAACTGCAGTCAACTGCATGGGAGTCCAGTAACATAGCCATTACGCCAACTGCTGGTCCCAGTTCACTCATATTTTTACAGCTAAATTCATTCACCTATTTCTACAAAAGGAAAATAAATCATTATATACTACCGAATTCTGTTACCTATAACAACTATGAATCTGATCACCTACGTCTCAGGAAACACTTTTCTGTACCTTTAGAGAAATCTTCTGAAGCAAGAAGTAGTGTAGTTGACTTTACTCTCTAGCTGAGATGCTTTAGAGAGCTCTGAGTTTTATCATGTCATGCCTTTCTGTCTAGCCAAAACGAAAATTAGCCAAACTAAGAATACTTTCATTTTCCTGACTATGTTTACAGGCGAACATTAGTCAAAACATTATCTCTTGCTGTTTTTGTTTGGTTGTTTTGCTTTCCAGGAAAAAAAAAAAAAAAAGATTTTGTCTGTGATATCCATCCTAGAGCTCTAGAAAAATTAAAATCCTTTTCCCTATCATAAATGGTTCTCAGTTTTGGCTGCACATTAGAAATGATCCATTTTTTAAAATCCTGTATGTCTAGGGACCAGAAGTTGGTATAATGGCTATATCGCTGGACTCCCATGTAGCCCACCGCAGTTTGATCCGGACTTGGTGGCTTAAATTCATGCCGGGCACGTGTGCGTACGTGCCCAAGATCCTGAGAGGAGAATGGAGAAGGGATTATGGCGTGGCCATCCCCCCTGGGGAGGTGATCTCTCGTTTTCTGTCTCTCTGTCTCTCTCTGTCTTTCTGTCAAGTGCATGCACCCTACAGCAAAAACCTCTCAAAACAAAACAAAACAAAAACCCTGAATGTCCAGACTGGACCCAGACTGAAGAACTAAGACTGAGTGTGGGACACAAGCACAGATATTTTTTAAAGCATCCCAGGAAGTTCTAATGTATATCGAGGTTGAGAACCACTACCTTACCAAGGAAATACTGGTTCAGAGGCCTAACCAGATGGAGCTATGACTCCACTGGATCCTGGCCCCAAATTCAAATATGGAACTCTTGAGCCAGCCAGGAGAAAATCATTTGGCTGGGGCAAGGGGTCTCTCCTGGAGCCCAGAACTAAAGCAGACACACACACCCCTCATCTAAGCAGGAGAGCCAGGTTCTGGCCCAGGGCCCAGGCTCTGTTCTCAAATACTACACGTGAAATGTCCGCACCAGAATCATCTGGGGTCCTTGTTTAAAAGTGCAAGTTCCTGAGTTGAACCCCAGACCTACTATGCAAGTTTCAGGAGGGGGTCTGGACACAATGCTTCACTGCATGTTTCTGATTCCACTGCAGTTTGCATATTCTGGCCCAAAGCTACCTAACACATCCTTTGCTGGGCAGCAGAGCTTTGGCCTCTAGAAGGAAAGCACAAAAAGGAATAAAGGAGAGGAGGCAAGGTTGTCCCTCTTTCCACTTTTTCTCATGGGTAGAGAGAAGCAGAAGAGACAAAGACATATGGCCGCCTTTTCTTTCTCCAAAGAGCATCTCCCACTCTTTGATCACTCTGGCCCCAACATCTGGTATTACTTTTAATCCTGTATTAGAAACCAGGATAATCTCTTTTTTTTTGGAGAGGTTTTTTTCGTTATAGGGCATGTGAGCTCGCCAGACAGAGTGAGAAAGACAGACAGAAAGCGAGAAATCACCCCCCAGGGGGGATGGTCACGCCGCAATCCCTTCTCCTCCATTCT